CATTATACTGCCATCATTGATCCTGCAAAATTTTGGCATTTTAAAGGGGCAGTGTATTGAAGGAAATATGCCGCAAGAGATTGTTAAACAATTCGACACTCGGTGAACTGGAAAATTGTGTTGAGGATTTACTGTTACACCCTTCATGTATTCAGGCAGTTTTCTTTATTTAAAAATAATGCCAACATTTAATTCGTGCCATTGATTTCATTTTCCCCAGGTTTGATTAAAATGTCAGAATTGTTTTTTTCACTCTGAAGGTTAAGTGTACAAACTAAATATGATATCCCTAAAAATTCTCTTGTTTTACATGACACAATATATGGACCTAGTACAACACGCTGACGCAGTAACAATTTATACAGACCCTGAAATATTTTCCTTGTCCATTTCACTCAAGTGCAACACAATGACAACAGAAATTCAGTGCAAACACATCACATATGTAACACATTTTTGGTAAAGGAAAACAAAATCCAGGGTCTGTATTTGTCAAAATGGCCTAAAGCTGTGTTTCATGATATAATGAGTCAACCAATCAGAATATTTTTTCTAGAAACCAATGTTGTGCTTTCATATCCATTTTGTGGTATGTGAATATATTGTATATATTTGAGAAACAACCATGTAGGCCGTAGTCTAGAACAAATAAGTTAGTCATACGATCAGTTGAGCATGAATCTGTCAGATCATCGATTACAAAAATTAGAATATCTCATCTCCATATATCACCATTTCTAACCAAATCTTTCTCAGTAGTCAATTAGTACATTAGTCATGTTAACCAGATGAGCCTTTTGTAGTAAAACCCTCGTCATGAAATATACAACTATAAAACAAAATTTAGATAAAAATCCTATTAGCCTGAAGTGGCCTGCAGTCAGCCGACACTGTGGCACTATCCTGTGTTGTGTTCTACAGTTGTCAGAGATAGTATTGTACACTACAATGTAATAGGATCTGGGTTGGAACTTTTAGACCACATTGTAACGGTCAATGTTCCTGTGTGTTTGGATATTCCGCAGTCAAACTATATCTATATCACCAACATGCAATGTTTCTCTTTGGCCCAGATAAGACTTTCTACCATTAACAATGTTTCTCTTTGGCCCAGATAAGACTTTCTACTATTGTCGATATTTCAGACAAAAGGACTTTATACCATTAATGTTTCTCTTTGGCCCAGACAATTTGGTTTATTTGTGTTTTACATCCTATCAACAGCTATGGCCATTTAAGGATGTGCCAGGTTTTGGTGGTTGAGGAAAGGCAGGGTTCCTGACGACTGACCTACGGCAAGTACCTGGCGACTGCCCCACGTAGGCCTCAAACCTGTTACACAGTGGTGGAGGGCTAGTGGTAGCAGAATGTCGGACGCCTTGGCTACCAGTGCCCCTGGCCCAGACAAAAAGGCTTTCTACCATTAACAATGTTTCTCTTTGACCCAGACAAAAATACTTTCTACCATGAGCAATGTTTCTCTTTGACCCAGACAAAAAGACTTTCTACCATGAACAATGTTTCTCTTTGACCCAGACAAAAAGACTTTATACCATGAATAATGGTTTTCTTTGACCCAGACAAAAAAACTGTATACCATGATCAATGTTTCACTTTGGCCCAGACATAAAGGCTTTCTACCATGAACAATGTTTCACTTTGGCCCAGACATAAAGGCTTTCTACCATGAACAATGTTTCACTTTGACCCAGACAAAAAAGACTTTCTACCATGAACAATGTTTCTCTTTGACCCAAACAAAAAGACTTTCTACCATGAACAATGTTCTCTTTGACCCAGACAAAAAAAGGCTTTTTTACCATGATCAATGTTTTACTTTGGCCCAGACAGAAAAGGCTTTCTACCATGAGCAATGTTTCACTTTGGCCCAGACAAAAAAACTTTATACCATGAACACCATGAACAATGTTTCTCTTTGACCCAGACAAAAAGACTTTCTACCATGAACAATGTTTCACTTTGACCCAGACAAAAAAGTCTTTCTACCATGAGCAATGTTTCTCTTTGACCCAGACAAAAAGACTTTCTACCATGAACAATGTTTCTCTTTGACCCAGACAAAAAGACTTTCTACCATGAATAAAGTTTCACTTTGGCCCAGACAAAAAAGGCTTCTACCATGAACAATGTTTCTCTTTGACCCAGACAAAAAAACTTTATACCATGAACATTGTTTCTCTTTGACCCAGACAAAAAGACTTTCTACCATGAACATTGTTTCTCTTTGACCCAGACAAAAAGACTTTCTACCATGAATAAAGTTTCACTTTGGCCCAGACAAAAAAGGCTTCTACCATGAACAATGTTTCACTTTGGCCCAGACAAAAAAACTTTATATCTTTAACAATGTGTCTTTGAACAAGATAAGAAAGGCTTTATGCCATTTAAAGGTTAGTTAATAGGTTTTACACCACTGAATGTGTCTCTTTTGTCTGAATGTAAAGGATTTGTATCATAAACTGACAATGTTTGGTCTTTGGCCCAGATAGAAGGGCTTTACTTACCTGATGTAAAATGTTTGTCTTTGGCCAGGTAAAAAGGTTTTATGCCATTAAAAATGTACATCTCTTTAGCCCAGATAAAAGGTTTATTCACACCACTAACAGATATTTGCATATATAAAAGTGTACTTGTTTATTTTTAACTGATCTAGGAAATACACATACATCACTAAGGGACAAAAACCATTTCTATTTGAAACCATTTCTACTATGGCTGCAGTACACAGTCATCAGTCGATGTCTGCCTTGACATCGCGACTGTTCTGCTGGTGGGAAGATCAGCAAATCCATACAACCAGGGGTCCTCTCAAACACAGATTTAGAACAATTACTTGGGAGAATGGAATCTATAAGGGCAGGTTTGTTTACTTGGGAGACTTACCTTTTTTTCGATGCAGTGGTATAGGTCTTCATTAAAAACTGTATTGAGTGAGGTTGTAGCTGACTTACACTGCTCATGGGTTATCCTACGAAAGTTTCATTCAGTTCACATAAAAGTGTTATCTCACTGAAATGTCACGTAGAATTCACATGAGTAAATTTTGTGAAAAGTTTTCAGACATTTTTTTATTTTTTGGTTAGTCCCATTAATAAGAGATGTAGTGGGTCCTCAAAAGTTGATGAATCCCACAGGGAAAACATGAGTCTGGGACTCAAAAGTCTGAGTCCCAAAATCACTGATACATGTAGTGTTATCAAACGGAAATGTCACACAAAATATTCATCTAGTGTTTCGTCAATGAAATGCTTTTATCTGCAACCTAGCCATGACCCCTAGCAGAAACACTTTGAAGAAATAACATAGGTCAAACAAGTTCCTGTGTAGGGACAAATGGGCCTTATGGTGAACCATCTAGTTATTTGTTAAAAACCTGTTTTTTAGCTCACCTGGCACGAAGTGCCAAGTGAGCTTATGCCGTGAAGCGGCGTCCGTCGTCCGTCCGTCCTTCCGTCTGTCGTCCGGCGTCAATATTTTACTTTAAACGACTTCTTCTTAATAACCAAAAGGCCTAGGGTGATGATATTTGGCCAGAAGCAAACTGGGATGAAGGGCTACAAAGTTTGTTAAAATTAATGACCTTCACCCATTTTCAAGGTCACAGGGGTCAAATATGTTAAAAACTTTAAACATCTTCTTCTCGATAACCAAACTGTCCAGGGAGGTGTTATTTGAATAGTAGTATGCTTGGGTGAAGGGCTACCAAGTTTGTTCAAATGAATGACCTTCACCAATATTCAAGGTCACAGGGGTCAATTGTCTTAAAAAACCTTTAAACAACTTCTTCTGAATAACCAAAATGCCCAGGGTGATGATATTTGGCCAGTAGCATGCTGAGATGAAGGGCTACAAAGTTTGTTTAAATGAATGACCTTCACCTATATTCAAGGTCACAGGGGTCAAATATGTTTAAATCTTTAAACGACCTCTTCTGAATAACCATGGGTCCCAGGATGTTGATACTTTGCAAGTTGCATCCTGAGATGAAAGGCTATAAAATTTGTTCAACATAATGACTTTGTTTGACTTTCAATCACAGGGGTGAAATGTTTAAAAAAAAAAATAACAGGTTCTTTTGAATGAATTTTAATCATAAATATTGATATTTCATTTTGCCTGTAGCTTTATTTTAGATCACTTTTAAGGTTACAAATGTGAGATTTATACCAGGTGAGCGATGCAGGCCCATTGGACCTCTTGTTTGGTGTTTTTTTTAACGTCCTATCAACAACTAAGGTCATTTAAGGACGTGCCTTCATATGTGTTGTGTATGCATGCTTGAGACAAGGTATGTTGGTTGGTGTTATTACCTCATTGTGATAGTGCAGATATCTAATGCCGAATTTATAGTGTTATCTCACTGAAATACCATGCCGAAGGCACCTGAGACAGCATTCTGCCCGGTTACATTACTGACAACAGTTATGACCCTTCTTTGTGATTGAGCTGGTAATTTGTAGCCACAGGTTCGACTCCTAGTAAAGACACATAAATACACGTAACACTAATGTTTGTACTGTATAATGATTACCATTCAACAGTCTCTTTGTGAAAAATGTGAAGTACTCCACTGTTAAATAATCAATGTGATTGATCTGTTCATTGTTAGTGCAGTCCTAAACAGTCAATGGGTGGAGCTCTGTGATCCAGTTGTTTGTTTTGTGTCGGGCATTGGTAGCTTAATGGTATGTTTTGTCTTATTTTCAGATTAAATTTTAAAATGTCTGTCCAGAAATAGGAGAAGTTTGGTGAAATCTTTATCTGATTGAGATAATGTTAAGTCTCTAAACATCTGTGTTTTGTTTCACTTTTTAAAAATTATGAAAACATGCTGATTTTAGTTTGAATGATTTTCAGGTAAAGCTGATTGAGTTTGATACGGTGGTTACCATTGAGATGTTCCAATGTCAGATGTAGAATCCACAGCACTAACTCACTTAGACAGATGTTTATTGCTTTCTCCTTGTTGTCTTTTTCAGCACCAAGATGTCCGGGGACGAGGAGGAAATCTTGTTTGATGATGTTTACGAAGTTTGTGAGACAATTGGAAAGTAAGTATTTGCTATTGTGATCCTTTGATTGTATTTAAAAAGATTTGCATCATAATCTTCAGAAACCTTGGATGTGTATTTACTGGGTGGTGGACTATGTAAATTAATGCTGCTGCTGTTTTCTGATAAAAATATTGACAAGAAAAAGTTTACATGGGATTTTGAATTTTGTTTGTTGACATTTTGTTCAGCAGCAGCAGCGAGAAGGCTTTTGAGCAACGTGGTCCTCAAATCGTCAAAGGCATATATATGCTACATGCTCTCGTAGGACGCGGCATTGACATAAAACATTCACATGGCATCAATCAACTTGAAGTTTTGTGTTTTTAGGTTACTTCTCAAAAAGTATAATTGCTGAGGCTTTTGTACTTGGATTACAGTTCAGATGATACATTACCTCACATTATCATTCGATGTTGTGGGAAATTGAAGGAAAGCTTTATTCTCATAGCAACGAATCAAAGGAGTAAAACTGAAAATAAGTTTTTTTTTCTTGCGATGGTGACATCAAACTTTTGCATTTAGCAGCAACATTCTGGTTTCATCTTCAGATTATTTCTGAAAAACAACAAGTGCTCAGGCATTCACGATACAAGTGGGTCATTAAATTTTAATCGTGTTCTTGCCGGGATGAAGGAGTGATAGCAGGACTTAAGGCATAACAAAGCCAATATTTCATCTTTGAAAAAAAAAAAAAAAAAAAAAACCCCAACATCTTGATGCTGTCAATGTTGTCCTCAATTGCGGGCATTGACTGACAAAGCGGACACAGCGAGACATCTCTTTCCTTTGGATTCTTGTTCCCTCTACATTGTCCATGTAATAAAAATTTCTGTTTTGTCAATCGGCAATTTTTTTATGTTTACATTGTCGGCACAGGCAGAAAACAATGTCAAACAAACCTCAAACTTGTAGTTAATGTAGCAGTGTAAGTTACAAAGATGTAACTGAAGACATAGTAGTGTTAACACAAAGATAATTGTGTACTAAGTCTATTCCGTCTTTTCGTATTGCAGAGTTATCTGCACTTGTGAGCAGGTATTGATTGTTACGTTACTTGATTGTGAGAGTAACATCATCAATTTTTGAGAAAACAACGTAATTTTCTCACACAAACCAATGACGTAACAATCAATACCTGCTCACAAGAGAAGATAACTCTGCAATACGCAAAGACAGAATAGGTTTTATGAATGAGTTTAGAACAGATTAGTACTAGCAGCTGGAGATTTTAAGGCTTTTTTTAGATCTGCTTGATTACAAGATCGTAAATAACTGCTATGAGAATATGTCAAACGTTCGTTACAGAATTTCAATGAAATACAAATACCTGTTAATAAGAGGTGATTAATTCACTGCTGCTAAAGAAAAAAACCCACAGCATTTCAGTATAAATGCATATTGCAAACTGTATGAAACAGTCTTTGTAGAACCACATTAAACATTTAAGGAGAGGACTTATATAGACTATGCCCAATTCCATAAGTACAATAAAATAGTCTGAAACAATTGAACATTTAGACATTGGCGTATGGTCACTTCCTGGATTTCACATCTAAAACACGTCTAAAACCACATCCATGCTCTGTTAATGTCATGATTCACTTACCGTTAATGTCATGATTCACTTACCGTTAATATCATGTTTCCCCTGATGAATGAACAGTGATATTAAACAGAATTCACGGTACATTAATGTTCCTGGGGTTCAGTTTATTCTGTCAACGACAAAATGAAAAGTTTCATTTAATTTAGATTCAAAATCATCACCATGAAACACCAAAGAGAATCTACAAATATATTAATTAGTTGGTCTGGAAAAGTATTGAATTTGAGATTAGACTTTACAACATTTACAAGGCCTTGTATATACATAGCTGGGTAAGAGAAAGGTTCCTTCATTCTATATTGGGAAAGTCTACAAGTATTATGCTACCTTTCCAAGCTTTTAAAATCAAGTTATTGACAGTTCCACTCCTAACAGTATACACATGTGACAGGACGTATCAATGATGGAAGATTTAGTTTTCAAATCAATTCATGTTTTTTCTCAATCTTGGCAATTAGCCGAACCCTCCTAGACATACACTTTATCTCCTGGGAAAAGGGCATTTCAGTATAAATACATATTGTTTTCCCGTATAAGCCAGTTTGGCCAAATTCAATGTCTTTGGGAAGCTATAGTCAAAGGAATTCTTATCTGTTTTATAATATCTTTTAAAATAATGGAATTATGAGCTTATCATAAAGTATAACATTTTGTAGGTTACTATTTAAAGAATCAACACCCTAGTAAGGTACTAGTTGCTTCTAGTGACTTTGTAAGGAGAATTTCTCTTAACCTCATTTGGTAGATAATTGTCAGACTATTCGGCCATTAGGTCCCAGGTTTGGTCCATAGCTGAGGCCCTGAATAGACCTCGGTTGTGTTCATGAGATCGGATATAAATAAAAACCAGACGATGTAAGTCAAATATCTGGTAAATGCCATTTTCTTTAAAGAAAACAATTCCCTGCTCTAAAGGCATGATTGGAGTTTTTCAATATGAACAATATTTGATGCAAGATATGATGTCACAATGCATGTGTGATGTCAAAAACTATTGTTAGGTCATGGTGTTATTTAACACAAAGTATTTCATGGTCTTGTTGTTTTGGATACTTGAAGCACTCTTTGTGTTTTATCAGATGATAAGGAACATCAAGTCGAATGAAATGAGCCATGTAGCTCAGTGTTGGCCTGTGTGTGTGAGGTCAGAGGTCAAAATTTACCAGACTCTTGCATGTCGGAGATATACATCATGCAATCACTCAGAGGCCGAGTGCCTTCTGGGGCCAATTCCAGCCACACAGGAGCTAGCTGGATCCTGTCTCTTACCAGATCACCTTTTATTGGGCTTAATGGTGCATTTATGGACATATTACTTCTATGGTTTTAGCCTGTGGCTGTCAAAGAATACAAACGAGGTTACACAACCAGTCTTCAACTCTTAGCAATCCTGTTGTAGGAGGCGCTATTACTGATGCAATGATTGGATCTACAGGGACCTGTTTATAATATGTAGGTGTTGGGATGAAGATTTCAAATACTTTCCCAAGTGAATGCATTTAATTGTGATGTCACCAGGGTGATATGACTTACAATGTAAGAGACAATGCTTCTTAAATGATAATTTCACCATGATAATATGACCAACATTGTAACGTTGCTGTCACCATGGCATGTGATGTAATTCATTTCCTTGTCATGTCACCATGCTTATAAAATCTCCTAGAATTGTGTTTAAAATCACCATGGGAATATGCCAAAATTAACGTTTTATTGACATCATATTACATGACATACGATTGAATTCAATAACATCATGACATACTCGTATGAAAAATGTCTTGCATGAATTTACCCTGAAGAACAAAACAACACTATGATTGCTTGTCAGTGAAGCATTGTCACGTGAGCCAGCGTCTCCAATTTACCGAGATGTGATAAGTATCAACCTACTTGTTGTATTGTTAGGAGGAGAAAGATCAGCGGAATTCTACGGAGTCAAGGCAGACAATAGGAAATTGATTTCTTACATTTGAATACATGAATACACAAAGAAGTTTTGGGTGCCATTGTTACAGTACATGCAATGTTGGACTGGAGTGGGAATTCCCTGTCCCGTCTTGTGTTACCATGACAACACGAAGGAGTCGCCCGTCATTGTGAGCGTACATTAACAACCGGACAGGAAGCCAGTGTCTACACCCATCAGTTGACATGAAGATTCAGACTGCCACTTCTACTTGTTTTGCTGGTTTTTTGTCATTATTCATTCTAAATTTCTTGGATCCAGAACTTATTTTTAGATTGTTTTTCAGATTTCTTACAGATTACGTAAAGTTTAGATCAGATTAAAATTCACTAGAATTTTAAGTTACTAAAGATAATCTGCTGTATAGCAGATATTTCTGTATAAAGGTATTGGCGAAGTAAAAATACAATCTCGATAATCTGCTGCGATATCTTTGACCTAAAGGTATGTTTTATTCCATATAATCAGGAATCGTTGATTTTCGGTCTGATATCACTTGCAGGAAAGTGTCATTGTTCATATTCTTTTGAGATGAATTCTTTTGAAATAATAGACAAATGACCGGCCAGAAATTAGTCATGTGACACATTTGTTGTCAGTGATTGGTGACTGGTAGGCAAGATTTGTAAGGCGGCCATTGTCTGTAGAAATGGTTTGTGACCATGGATGTAATTAGTACCTGCCAACCTAGTTGTTTTGGCTGTGTTTGGCGATGAGGTGATGAAGTGTTGGTCCAGTAGACTGATCGCAGTCACTATGATCACCATTAGATTACATACTAACTGGGGCCCTCAGCTCAGCCCTAAATAGTCTAAGGCCAAGTGGATAAAATGTAAGGCCAAATCAATATAGTCTAAGGCCAAGGTAAAAGTTCATATCCAAGTCCCAGATGGTCTTAGGCCAAGCACATCAAATTAAGGCCAAGTCAATTAAGTCTAAGGACAATGAATTCTGAGATGAATTAATGTAAATGAAGTCATATTCCAAGCAAATAAAGGTTCCAATCCAAGTCTTACACCAAATCGGTTAAGTATAGGCCAAGGCACTAAGTCCAAATAGTTCAGATAGGCATAAATACTAGTTAAAAAAAAATTCATGTGTTCAGAATTGTTATAACGACACTTCAAATCGTTCTTATGTTGCTGGTTTTCCAGAAATTCATCCTAGTGAGGTACGCCTGATAACCCCCGGAATCAGCTTTATTTTGAACTGATATTTTTGTTTTATTTTGAGGATAGAAGGTTTGATTAGTTCTAGCTGTGCAGAACGCATGGATTTAATGTGCTGTAGCTTCAGTGAGTCGGACATACAAAGGATATATTTTTTCAAAATTCAATGAAAAACTATAGAGCTTTAAAGGCTGGCATGCTGGAGTACTTGGACAGCTCTTTTCATCTGTTGCTTAAAGTTAGCAGGCCTCCA